GCTTTCTCGACATTCATCTTCAACCCTAAACCTAAGCTACTTAGACACTCACTAGCAATGGCTCCTAAGCCTAAGTCACGCTAGTATCTCAACATGGTATTCAGAGCAAGTACCTTCCTGCTGCATTCCTGCTTCCGCTGCCTATCGTCCTGCCGCGCGCCTTGGGCGCGCGGCGCGCACGGCGATTTTCTGCCCGCCGTGTGCTCGAGGCGCACGGCGGGCTTCTGCCCGCCGTGCGCCCTGGGCGCGCGGCGTCTTCCTGCCCCGCGCATGGCCTGCCCTCACGCCCTGCGAAGCGCCGTCCCTGCTCGTCGCGACGCACCTGCGGGACCTGGGCGTCGCCTTGCTTGTCGCGACGCCCCTGCGGGACCCACGGGGCGTCGCCACTCCTCGTCGCGGCGCCCCCTGGACGCCGCCCCTGCTCGTCGCGGCGCCCCTGGGGCGTCGCCCCTGCTCGTAGCGGCACCCCTTGGGCGCCGTCCCTGCTCGTCGCGGCGCCCTCCCCCCTGGCCACCGCCTCTGCCTCACCTGCGCCCGCGCAAGCGTTGCAGCCGCGCGCGGGCCTACCTTGCACCAGCGCCGCCCCTGGAGCAGCCGCCCCTGGAGCAGCCGCCCCTGGCCACTGGAGCAGCCGCCCCTGGTGCAGCCGCCCCTGGACCTCAGCAGCCGCCCCTGGACCCCGCGAGCCGCCCCAGCAGCAGCCCACGGCGCCGACCTTACAGCTGTATGCCCCGCCGCTCCTGGACTCGGTACGGCTGCCTTCCTGTGCTGCCCGTTGCTGCCTGTTGCTGCCCGTTGCTGCCTGTTGCTGCCTGTGCTTGTTCTGCCCGTTGCCGTCCGTTGCTGCCCGTGCCTGTGCTGCCCGTTGCCGCCCGTTGCTGCCCGTGCCTGTGCTGCCCGTTGCCGCCCGTTGCTGCCCGTGCCTGTGCTGCCTGTTGCCGCCCGCTGCTGCCCGTGCCTGTGCTGCCTGTTGCTGCCCGTGCCTGTGCTGCCTGTTGCCGCCCGTTGCTGCCTGTGCCTGTGCTGCCCGTTGCTGCCTGTTGCTGCCCGTGCCTGTGCTGCCCGTTGCTGCCTGTTGCTGCCTGTGCCTGTGCTGCCCGTTGCCGCCCGTTGCTGCCCGTGCATGTGCTGCCCGTTGCCGCCTGTTGCTGCCCGAGCCTGTGCTGCCCGTTGCCGCCCGTTGCTGCTCGTGCCTGTGCTGCCCGTTGCCGCCCGTTGCTGCGCGTGCCTGTGCTGCCCGTTGCCGCCCGTTGCTGCCCGTGCCTGTGCTGCCTGTTGCTGCCCATTGCTGCCCGTGCCTGTGCTGCCTGTTGCTGCCCATGCCTATGCTGCCTGTTGCCGCCCGTTGCTGCCTGTGCCTGTGCTGCCCGTTGCTGCCTGTTGCTGCCCGTGCCTATGCTGCCCGTTGCTGCCTGTTGCTGCCTGTGCCTGTGCTGCCCGTGCGTGTGCTGCCCGTCGCCGCCCGTTGCTGCCCGTGCCTGTGCTGCCCGTGCCTATACTGCCCCTGCTCTTCCCCCTCCCCCTTCTTTGTCTACCTGCTGCGCGTGCAGCCGTGGAACAGAGGCTATGGGGGTGGCGGGTATGGGGGTGATGGGTGTGTGTGATCCCCTTCCCCTCCTCGTCCTTTCTCTCCCACTGCTGCAACTGCTGCTGGGGGGGGTGGGTGTGAGGGTGTGGGGGAGCTGGGGGAGAGGTGCTAGGGTTGTCGAGGAGTGTGGAAAGGGGAGTTGGAGGACTGAGGAAGGTTCTAGGAAGCAGCCGCCTTGGAGCCAGCAGCTTCACCTGCCAGCAGCTTCTCCTCATATAATCCCTCCTCCTCACTTGCCCTCTCCTCCTGCTGCGCTTGGTGTACCCCTTCAGGGGGTGTCTCTGCATTAGCTTCTGCTGGAGGCAGTTATGGGGGAGTGTCAGAATATATCTGTAACTGCCTGTAGTTATAGTTAGTGTAGTTATTATAAACTTTGTTTAATGGTGCACCTTCTTTGTTCCTTTGCTATATGTTCTTGCAAACCTATAGTGAAGCCCCATTCTCTCCTTTCAACTTTCTCGACATTCATCTTCAACCCTAAACCTAAGCTACTAAGACACTCACTAGCAATGGCTCCTAAGCCTAAGTCACGCTAGTATCTCAACATGCACGCCAATCATCTGCGCGCACCTGCGAAGCGGGTGCACTGCTGTCCTGCGTGAGCAACGCTGGCACGCCGTCAACCTGCGACGTTAGCACGCCGTCGACCTTGCCTTGCTGGAGCGCCGTCGACCAAGTCGTGCTGGAACGCGGTCGATCAAGCTACGCTGGCAGTTGACCGACCTGAATGCTTGCTCTGATGTAGTCTTGCTATGCCAACTTCATTGTACCATTGTTCTGAACTTTTCCCAGTGGAACTCTTGCCAACTTTCCCCGTGAACTAGCAAGAAGTGTGTGCACATCGATCCGCCAAATGCCCGAAGTTTCTGCAGTTTTTGCAGTAGAGGCGCCGAGGTCGTCGCTCTTCGTTGTTGTCGGCGTAGAAGGCGAGCCGTTCACGTTCTCGTCGTGGCGCTGGTCGCTGCTGATCCATGTCCCGTTGTTCGACGAGAAGGGCGGCGCAAAGGGCGGCCTCCGAGATGACCCCCTGATGTCGGAGGAGCGCCTTGCAGGGCCGCCACTCTGGGCCAAGCCCTTGAAGCACAATGTTCACGAAGATTTCCTCAGAAATCGAGCTTCCCAACTTCACGATTTAATCCCGAAGGCTCCGACAGCGGTTGATGTAGCTGTTGACCTTCTCCCCTGAGGTAATCTTAGTTTCCAGCAGTTGCTGGAGTAGTCGGCTCGAGGAGATGGAGTCCTTGGGCTGATACACGCCGTTCAGGTGGCGCCAAGCGTCGAGGGCTGGGGCAGCCGATGTCTTGTATGAACGGATGTTCAGCTGCTCCGCCGGCGACATGTTACGCAGAAGAATCCCGTACGCCATCAGGGACTCGTTATAATAGCGAGTCCTTGCGTCGTCGGTTTCCTCAGCAGGTCCCGAGTAGCTCCCGTCGAAGTTATGATGAATCTCCGCGTTTTGCAGCAGCAGCTCCAGCTCGAAGCTCCAGGTGTAGAAGTCTCTGCCGTCAAAGCATACGCTTGTCTTTATTTTTGATATGCTCAAAAACCTTGATTGCGCGGAGAGAATTGCTTCATCGCTGGGACAGGGAGTCTTGGGCATTGAACCATTCGTATCTAGGGAGAAGCCTTGCGGGGCGGAGTTTTGGCCGTTTGGGGCCGGTTGAGTGGGTTGGGAAGAAGTTCCCGCATCGCCATTTCGCAATGTCTGGAGCCCTTGCTCTAGGCTCGTGAGTCGCTGAAGCAGTTGTGCGAGGACGGCGGAAGGAATCGTCGTCGTTTCCTCGTTTGTCGCTGCCGGGTTGGGCTGCGCTTCAGCCGTCAGATTCGTTTGACCTCCAGATCCTCCGGCCATTCTTGCACGTGATCGTGTGCCGGACGCCACTTTCCGAATGTCGCAGATTTCGGAGATGGCGGTGCGAAGGATTCCTGAGTCGCTCTCATACCATGCTGCGATCAGCAGTTGATCGTGGCCTAGGATCTACTCAGGAAGGTTCGCACGCAGAGAAGTGATGTTGGTGGGCCCTTGACCTCAATAGCAGAGTGAATGTAAATGCTTGAGATGAATAAAACATGCAAATACAGCAAATATAAATATGAGTACAGCTAAGATGAAACGACCTAGCTAGCCATGTACTCTAAGGGGTACATTCCCTTATTCAAATACATTCCCAACCGTGCGGCGCGAACAGTTTCGAAACTGTTCTCGCCGAAGCCATCCTGCCTGCAGCTGCCTGATGCTTGTGTGCTCCGACGGTTCAGATGCGTCCCAATTGTCTGACGCTTCGAGTCGTTTCCAACCGTCTGACGCTTCACGTTCATTCGCGATACTGCGTGCTGCGGTGAGGAGTGCACAGTAATATTCAAGTTTTACTATTCGTAACATGTTTGACACTTGCTTCATAGCCCATGTTGATCAAGTGCCCAACTTAAATAGTCGAATGCGTGCAGGGTATTTTCGAAACGTGGGAACAGTGCAAGGGTTCGGGTTTGAAAATAGCGGTGGTTAGCGTAATCCCCCCCCAGTTGTAGACCCCCTGGTCTATAATACGGACCCGGGTACTCTATTCGAGTACATCTGAGTTAGACCCCCTAAATGGCTCCTAACATTATAAGACCCCCCCACATACTAGAGAAGTGCGGATTTTACAAAAATATGCAATTGAAAAGGTAACGAATTTCGAATTTCAAATGAGTCAACACCCATTTTCAATGTGTTTGACTTTCGAAGGCTTCACTTGTTGCGCGTCCAGTCAGGATGAGCTGGCACGTGGGCAAAGTGACGTGCCAAATCTCTGTGCACAGTCAGGGAAACGCCCTCGCGCGATTCTAATTCAGGATGATGTATCAGTATGATTCGATTGAACTTACGAGACTGAAATGTACAACATCGTGCATTCTTATAAATGTCAATCTGAACAGACCCGGGTCTTCTTAAAAAATATACCATTTAATTATACCCCCCAGCCTTTTTAGGGGTGATTATCATAATACCCTAGGGTCTTATATACGGGGGATTACGGGTAGGTGTACTGTATTTGAAGCAGAGGTGTTCAGCGGCCAGCCTGTAACATCACTTTCAAGGTGACTTCTGAGTCGACTCAAAAGTCACCTTGTCGACTCAAAAGTCAGTGTTCAGCGGCCAGCCTGTAACATCAATTTTATTGGAGAAAACAGCCACAGATATAATTCCACATCTGCAACCTGGATGATACAGGAGACACAACTCACCATGATAAATACTGTACTACACATCGCAATAAGCTAAACACCGTCCATTACCATCAGCGCAACAACCGTCAGCATAACAGATATAGAGATTCCACCAGCACTGCAGCATAAGAAAAGGTTGCGGCACAGCAGCAGCCTCACTCACCAATACCGTACTCATCAGACAGACATGATTCATGAACTAGGCAGCAGCGGAGGCAAAGAGCTTGGCCACCTCACTCCACATGGCCCAGGGCTTGTCAATGAGATCAACGGTGTAGTTGATGTGATGCTGGCTGGGCAGAAACTCAAACTCGCACGGAATCTCCGAATCCACATACCCGTTAGTAAGCGCCATGGCAATCGTCCCTTTCACGTTGAGAGGCAGCGACGCGCTGTCTGGCGCCATGGCAGAAAGCTGGCGGAGACTCGCGGCCATGTCAGCGAAGTTCATCAGGGTGAACCCGAGGCACGAGGAGCCCACATCAGGGGGCTGGTTGGGCAAACCACCCACGGTTACCATGGGCACTTTGTGGCGTTTCCCCAGGATGTGCGTAAGGATGGCGCAGGCAGAGAAGCAGTTTCCGTCCGACAGGACCCGGAAGGGCCGGCCGCCAAACACCGGCTGCCGCTCCTTCCCGGTGAATCTGTCGGTCATCTTGAACGGCGCCGAGTAGTTTCCAGCCGGGCCGGCCGCTGTGAAGCGGCGCTCGCGGAAAGGAGCGTAGCCAAACACGCTTGTGAGATTCGTTCCGTTGAGGTCGGAGTATGCGTCGATGAAGTAGAGAGAGGCCGCGTTGACAGCGAGCAGGCCGATGGCGTTCTCGGTGTACTGCGAGCCGATGATGAAATCCATGCGCATGGTGAAGCTTGCGTCGGGGACCTTGGCTGCCCCCATGAGCAGGCGGATGGCTGTGTATGATGCCACCGTGGATCCGCCACCGTTGCCCCGCACGTCTATGATGACCTGAGAGGCGTTGGACCTGAAGAAGGGAGGGGCATGGGGGGAGTGTGGGGGGACGCATGGGGGGACATATGGGGAGAGACATGGGGGAACGCATGGGGGGAGGCATGAGGTCAGGGCGCTAGCATGAGGGGAGTGTGGGGGGAGGCATGGGGGGGAGTGTGCGGGGAGGCATGAGGGGGAGTGTGCGGGGAGGCATGGGAGGACGCACGCGGGAACACATGAGGGGATGGATGGGGAGCACATGGGGAGCACATGGGGAGCACATGGGGAGCACATGGGGAATGCTTGGAGGAATGCATGTGGGGGCAAGGGAGGAGACATGGAAAGGATCATGGGGCAATGAGCAAGAGGGGGAAACGAGGGCGGACAAGTGCTGATGTTAAAAGGAGTGACATGTCAGGTGCATAGCATGAGACAGTGTCGTGTGCCATTGTAAGGAGCAGAAAGGCACAATGCTGGGAGTCGGGACCACATAAGGGTGAAAGAAGGAGTGTTTTGAGACGCCTCAAATCATAAGGGTGGCTGCAGGTAAGGGGTGTAAGGAGGGAGGTACTGACGCTGCTGCGGTTTGAAGAGCCTTGGTGACCTCCTGGTCCATGACGTCATCCTTGATGTCGTCACTGAACGTGTGCAGCCAGATCACGGCCGTGCTGTTGTCCATCAGGTACACCTGCACAGCCCCCCCCCCCCCCCCCCCCCCCCCACACACACACACACGCACACGCGCGCGCGGGCACACACACACACACACACACACACACACACACACATGCACACGCGCGCGCGGGCACACACACACACACACGAAAACGAGTTGGACGCACATGATTGGTCTACGACTCTACGCAAGTGCAGCAGGCACCTCAAAACAGATCAGGTAATAGCACATCAGGTGGCAGTCAGTTACTGTTGCACACCAGCTGGCACACGCAAGCAAGTCACTTGATGACTCCAGCTGGCACACGCAAGCAAGTCACTTGATGACTCCAGCTGGCACACGCAAGCAAGTCACTTGAAGCTGTGCCACACACGTCAAGCCACAGACGTCATCACAAGCCAAGCACCCACCACGCAAGAACCCTATTACAACCACCAGCATTCACCCCAACGACTGAAGCCATCTCGCTCACCAGGAAAAGGTCATCCTTGGGTGAGATCCTCGTTACAGTCGGCCCCCGTACTGCACCAGAAGAGCCGTTTGCTGCTGCAGCAGAAAGCGACGCAATCTCGACATTCAGGTTGCCGCTGCCATCGCTGGTATCATCATAGTAAACTGGATCGGGGTGGCGCTTGAGAAACTTGTAGATCACTGGTGTGTCTGCTGCATGTCCGTGTCCATGGAGTCCGAGCGTGCTTGCGTGCGCGCTAGTGCCGTCAGTGGCATTGCTTGATGGCTCCACGGCACAGAACGTCGCCCAGTATTCCGTGGCGTTTGTGAAAGCAGTCAGGTTTCCTGTCCCGATCCATGCCACCTGAACGTCCTCCGTCGAAGCACTCTTTCTGAGAGGTGCGGAGGGGAGCAGCACAGAGAGGATTATTGAGTCGACTCAAAAGTCACCATTTTCCTGTCCCGATCCATGCCACCTGAACGTCCTCCGTGGAAGCACTCTTTCTGAGAGGTGCGGAGGGGAGCAGCACAGAGAGGATTATTGAGTCGACTCAAAAGTCACAATTTTCCTGTCCCGATCCATGCCACCTGAACGTCCTCCGTCGAAGCACTCTTTCTGAGAGGTGCAGTGCAGTGCAGAGGGGAGCAGCACAGAGAGGATAAATCTGGCAGCCGCGGAAGAGAGAGCGCGAGACATGTTCAAAACTGTACGTGAGACATGTTCAAAACTGAGCGTGAGACATGTTCAAAACTGTACGTGAAGAAGATGAGAGTGGCGAACGAAGGCAGCAAGCAAGAGAGCAAGTGAAAACAACGACACGCGTAGCGACAGGGAGAGCCGATAAGAAAGCATCGACTGTCTGTCACGTCACTCACTCGATTGCGAACGACACCAGTAAGGTGTCATTTTCGGGAGCATAGGCTCGCCGGGCGAAGTCGCCTGGCACCTGGACGATGCCTGTCTCCCCCGACGACCCATCCACTATATTCGCCGCGAAAGATTTCGTGAATCGCGCAGACCCGATTGCGAAACATGCCCCCTTCCTTGTCCGCCCAGTTCAGGATGAAATCTTCCGCCTTTTCCCCGTTAATAGCCACCACCTGGGGCGTCGCATGAAACATGGAACATGGATTTGTAAAACAGGTGTGTAATGCATGCAAGCAGGGCGCTGCTGAATGAACCAGGTGCTTGAATGACATTAACGAACCGGGTGACTCTATCAGTTTGTTGCATCATTGCATGCATACCTGTCGGCCCTCGTAAAGACTGAAGTCAAAATTGTGCAGAACCTTTGCAACATGGTCCAACCCGTTGGGAGTGACATCTGATGGCAAGAGGGATTTTCAAAAGAGAGTTTATGGTTAAGCTTTTTTCGTGGTACGCTCTTTAGGATTGCTCTTCTTTGCAGCAGAATGCCGGGGAATACCATTGAACAACCCTAACTGTTAAGAGTGACACTTACATAGTGCAGCAGAGCAACCCACAGACAGTACTGCAACACTCACATCGGCGTGGCGCAACGCAGCAGAGGGAGGAAAATCTTCATTCACCAACCCTCACCGGGAGGGAATGCATTGAGCAACACTCACATCGGCGTGGCGCAACGCGAATGATCTGCTGCCCGTTTTCAACAACAGCCATGAGCGGCAACGGCAAGTCGTAACTGCTCCCTCCGAAGCAAGTCGGGATGGAACGCGCTGTGCCCGTCGTTGAGGCGCGTTGGTCGCGCGGAAACGCCGCCATGTGCGCGTCAACCAGCCGAGGGTACTTTCCCGCTTCGGCGTTCGCGACGATTTTCCGCAGGTCCGCGACAATATCGATGCTGCTCGGCAGGTTGGTCTGGTCCGGCGAGTCAACGGCGATGTGCTTGTACACGTAGTGATTGTCGAACGCGTTCGCGATCGACAGCAGGTCCTCCACGTCGCAGTCCTTCCTGCCATGTGGGAGATCGGCCGTGGCAATTGTACAACCGCAAATCAGGCCAACATAAACGAGACCAGAAAGCGTGGAGTTCGGTTTCAGTTCAGTGGCGCATGAAAATAGATAGCGGAAAAGAAAAATATCAGCAAAACTCTTTCACGGTACATGAACGGTGGCGGTACAATACAGTACCTGAACAGGAACGTGGAGTGGCACGCGCGGAAGAGAGAAGGAGCAGCGAATCCTTGCCCTCCAGTCTTGTCCCCAAGTTTCCCCCGCAGTGCGATTCAGCTCCGCTGCCAGCGCAGCACACGGGTCGGGCGCGGCTCCGGCTGCGATTGAATCCGTTCAGAGGGGCGTCGTGGCACGATACCGCAGGAGCCGGCGCCGGCGCCGCCGGAGCTGGCGCCGGGACTGCTGAAACTGGCTGCCAACAGCCACCTCTGCCGGTCCGTCGGACTCCGCGGCAGTGAGAGTGGCGGGCTTCGCGGCGACGGGGAAGAGGCCGTCGTTCCAGAACCAGTGGCGGGCGGACGCGGAGGGCGCCTGGAGCAGCAATGCGAGGACGAGCACGGGGAGAAGCCCCGCCGCCGTGGAGAACGCGCCGCCGCGCCCTTGAGTGACGGCCCGTCGCGGGGCAGCCAATTGCGCTGCGGGCAGATGGGGGACTGGGTCGGCTACGAGTGCAAGAGAGTGTCAGCGGGCGGTAGCAACGCACGCTACTTGTTGGTTAGGAGAGAAAACTGCGGGAATGAACTGTGAGGTGTGGATGGCCGAGCGGGGTAAATATATTCCGTGGGAGAGCAGAGCAGGAGAGGCGAATTTGGTTCGGAGCTTCGGTGCGAGTCGGGTCGACGATTTTCCGCCGCCGCGACGCCGCCCATGGTGTGCGACGAGACCCGCTCGGTCGCCCAGTACTAGGGCAGGGGCGAAGTATGGCGAGCGTACGAACCGAACCTGCCCTGGTGTGGAGAACGGACTCCAAAATCCCTGATTCGTCTTGCCCCTACGACACAGCCCCACTGCCTTGCGACGGACTAATGCCATGCGACCTCACTACAGATTGGAAGGGCGAGGCGGCTCCGCAAGTCTTTCGATAGGTAGCTGGTGGGGAGATGTGCAAGACTTAGGAAGTCTTGTTCGGGTTGGTAGCTGGTGGCGAGAGGCGCAAGACTTTGCGTGACTCAGCTAATAGCAACATTGATGAGTTGTCTAGGGATCCGAGAGAGGGCGCATTCCTATGTATAGCGTCGCGAAAAGACGTGTCGAGGTTGATTGTGATGCCTGTTGGAGGTGAGGATGTTAGCAGCGCAAGTGCAAATTGTGTGGAGTCGTTTCCTATCAATTCCAAATGCGTGAGTCGCCACGATTTTTTCTCGTCGCGAGCGGCTGGAAATGTCGTCTTCGCACTCCGAGCACGGAGTTACCGATTTTTCGCAAGAATCAGTCTAACTGGACCCGGATCTGGAACTCGGGCCACCTCCTGTGCGGAGTCTGCTCGTAAATGTGGGCCCTAAGGTCTGAGGTTCTGGGAAAGCAGACGAAATAGAGTAACAGGTGTGTACAAAGTTGTTTTCTTCAAATAACACACATTGAAAGGAGTAACTTCAGAAAGGGTTACACGACGATACGACTGACATCGCCGCAGAGACTTTCGTCAATCGCTTGACCACCCGCGAGGGCAGGCTGACTAATAAGCCCAAGGACCACTCTCCTATTTTTCGGCGGGCTGTCAGTCAGCCTACCACAAAAAAATAGGAGTTCTATGTAAGGAATCTGTTGGTTGTTCGCTCCTTCTCATACAGCTCATAATTGCACGTACCGCTCAAACGCGCTACCGACGTAGGTCGAAAACCGTCGTGGCAAGCTCGCACGTATTAGAGAAGCCGCTTGTTAAAAATCAATCTTCCCAGGTGCGTGCGTAACTGGATGTTCGCCTCCCCTTTCGCGTGTGTCGCACCCACCCTCAGTCTCCCTCTCGCGACCGTCTCGCAGGACTCGCGCGTTCAGATTTAGGGTTACCATTACGACTCAGCATGCGTGTTCAGAATTTGCGTAATCATACAGTCGTGATCCTTGTCACTCTTTTTCCACGTCTGTCGCGGTTAGCACGCGTTGTCGTGTTACGAAACAGGAGTGACGACTAGTCGCGATTTCCGGCGTTGCGCGTCCGGCGTTGCACACCCGTGGCAAGAGATGAATAGGTTGTGCTCAAGTCGCTTTTCCAGACGTCTCAAGACACGTTTCCCCACCTTCCTCGCTGCAGTGGACAGACGGAAGCTCAAGACAAAGGCAAGACGAGGGACAAGCCGTGGAAGGCGGTTCAGTGAGAGCCAGCACGTGCAGGAGCGACAGCAGGATATAGAGTCGTATGGTGGGTGTCTCGCACGTGTATCGCATGCTGGAGATGTGTCGCATGGTAATGGGTGTATTGCATGGTGGGTGCATGTCGACTTGGTTTTTTCCGGCTCCCCTGCTTTTCCTGTATTTTGCTCTCCCTTTCTTTAACCTCCCTCACAACAAACTTTTCGTGGCTGCCTTGGCACAATTCTCCTCACATTCATCTTACATTCGTCTCAGATTCTTCGCAGATTCTTCTCAGATTTGTCGCGGATTCTTTTCAGTTTTTTCCCAGATTCGTCTCAGATTTTTGCCGTCCCACCAAGCTGTTTCAAGGAGCTGTAGCTGTTTCCACCCCCACCACTTGCAGGTGTTGCAGTGGTGGCTTTTCAAGGAGCTCAAAGATGCACAGGGGCAGGCAGAGGTAGCAGCTGACGCTGACAACTCCTATCTCCCCACCCACCCCCCTGTTCCAGTCTCGTTCATTCCACCCCAGGCGTCGCGGTCACGGCTGTTCAAGGAGTTGAAGGAGGCGCAGCGGGAGGCACGGGTTGCAGCTGACGCTGACAACCCCGTATCTCCCCACCCACCCCTCTGTCTTAATCTCGTTCCATCCCTTCCTCTCGTTCATTCCATCACAGGCGTCGCGGTCGCGGCTGTTCAAGGAGTTGAAGGAGGCGCAGAGGGAGGCAAAGGGATCAGCCGATGCTGACATCATCCTGAGCTGTGATGAGAGCAACATCTACAGATGGACGGCCCTCATCAAGGTAGAGTTGAATGGACGGCTGTGATGAGAGCAACATCAACAGATGGATGGCCCTGATCAAGGTATGCAGGATGTGACGGTTGTGATGAGAGCAACGTTTACAGATGGACGTCTATTATCACTGCTTCCGCATCTTCCTAAACCCCTTCGTAACTCAGCCCCCCCTGCTGTTTAGTACATTCAACCTATGATACGTAATGGCCCTGCCTCAAAGCCTAGGGTTGACTCGTGTGCCCCTTCCCTCCCTCCCCCCCAACCCCCCCTCCCCCCCTCTCCGCCTCTCGCTGCTGCCTACCCTTGACCCCGATGTTCTTTCCCCAGGGCCCAGCTGACACCGCCTTATTACGGAGGGCATTCACCCTCACCATCAACGTGCCCCAGCAGTACCCTCTTGTTCCGCCCCAAGTGCGGTTCGCTACCAAGGTCTTCCACCCCAACGTGCACTTCAAGGTCAGTCAACTCTGAGTCAACTCAAGTCAACCAAGATCTTCCACTCCCAAGTGCACTTCAAGGTCAGTCAACTCCGGGTCATCACATTTCGGCCAATGCACTTTATACATCATCCACATGGCATGGAATCAGCTTCAGTGTGTCTCTCACCTGACTCCCGTTTCTCTCACCTGACTCCCGTTTCTTTCTCTCACTCACCAACTCCTTCCCCTTGCACCCCCTCTTTCCCCCCCCCCTTCCCTCTTCCACGCCCTACCACCCAGACGGGGGAGATCTGTTTGGACATCCTCAAGACCGCATGGAGCTCTGCCTGGTCCCTCACACCCGTGTGCACTCGAGGGACTTCATCCCATGCGTGTGCATCTCCGTCATCACTCTCACCCCTTCGTCCCCCTTACCTCCCCTTCCTCCCCTTCCACGCCATGCCATGCAGACGGGGGAGATCTGTTTGGACATCCTCAAGACGGCATGGAGCCCAGCTTGGACCCTCACATCCGTGTGTCGCGCCATCATCACTCTCCTCTGCCACCCCGAGGCCGACAGCCCACTCAACTGCGACTCAGGTGAGTGAGACACATCAGGTCAATCAAGTCCACCAAGTCGCTTCTAGTGGGAATTTTCTCGTGTCTCTGTGTCGCGCCATCATCACTCTCCTTTGCCACCCCGAGGCCGACAGCCCACTCAACTGCAACTCAGGTGACTGACATTCCAGCTTGGATCGGTGTCGAGTCCAACAAGTCACGTTCAAAATGAACCCGTCACGTCCATGAGTCTAATCTCATGTCTCTCTCTCTCTCTTTCCCCCCCCTTGTGTACATACCCCCTCTCGTGTAAATACCCCCTCTCACGTACGTAACCCCTCTCGTGTGTTCCCTCCATGCGACCCACCCCATTCCCCTGCAGGCAATCTGATTCGAGCAGGTGACAACCGGGGCTATTGCTCCATGGCTCGCATGTACACTAAACTCCACGCCATGCCGCCCGCTGCCAGATGAGGTTGATTTGGCTCACAGATCGACACCATGTTTCCGCGACCAGATGAATGTTGAAGGTGTTGAGAGTTTCCTGGGCTCACATGTACACTACATTCCACGCCACACCGCCTGCAGCAAGGAACCTTGGAAGGCATCAGGTATATTGCATGGGTATATGTACAAGTTTTTTTTTTATCTATGGTATGATGCGTGCATCATGATGGTCTTAAAGCGCCAATTTTGCTGCAGCTAGCTAGAATGTGAATGTGGCCTCTCATCTCTTTCGCAAACGGAGGACATGACCTGCTGCAATCTCTTTGCGAACGGAGCACCTGACCTGCTGCAAAGCAGCCATTGCAACCTGCACTGTGCTGGGATTTTACAGAGTAAGGAAGAAGCGCAC